AGATACATCGGCTTCAAAGGCGGCCGGCGCAGAAGCTGAAGTCGTGCCAGAGACAAACGAGACGGAGCAACAGCATAGTAACGAACAAGCAGCTGATGGCGAGGCGGTAGCCACATCATCCGAACCAAAAGCCGCCGAACCCGGAGACCCGCAAGAACAATCGAAGGGTGCATCACAGAAGCGTACCCGTCAACTGCAGCCTCCAGTAATCCCTCCTCAGAATCTCACCCTTGTGGTCCGAGTGTTTGTGGCTAGAGAGTGTAGCTCAAAGACATTCCAAAACACGATCTCTACTATCAAAAATCTATCAGCTATTCCAGGGGCGAAGACAGTCTTTGGACAGGAGTTGGTTAGCCAAGCCCGTCTATTGAGCAGCAATATTGTTGCTGATCTAGATGACTTGCTACCACACATTGAGGCGGCTACTTCTGGAACCGAAATTCAGGGAGTTGCGCTCGCCAAGTTTTCACCAGGAGCTTCAGAGCAGAATAAGTTGCTCAGAGTTCTTACCGCTCTGGACCATCTATTTGACGGAAAAAAGAAGGCTGAAGAAGCGGATGAAGCTGGTGCTGACGAGAAGCAAGATCTTGTCACCTCGCTATACCACAACTCAACCTTTGCAACCATGTGGGAGAAGCTGAGCGCATGTTTGAGCGCCATTCGCCAGCGAGAGAACATGCTCAATGTCGCAACAATATTACTCCCGTTGATTGAATCTTTGATGGTGGTCTGCAAAAACACCACGACAAATGATGATCTGTCTCTCAGCCAAGTTGGCAAGGACATGTTGCTATCAAGCCCGCAGCCAGAATCTCGCACGGCTAGTCTCTTCTTCACTTTCACAGAAGACCACAGACGCATCCTCAACGAGCTTGTGCGACATAATCCAAAGCTCATGTCCGGCACCTTTGCCTTGCTTGTGAAGAATCCCAAGGTTTTGGAGTTTGATAACAAGCGCAATTACTTCAACAGGAGCGTTCACTCGCGGAGTGGTCAGAACCAGGTCCGCCCATCGTATCCACCCCTGCAGCTTTCTGTTCGCCGAGAGCACGTTTTCCACGACTCTTTCAAATGGCTGTGTTTCAAGTCAGGCGAAGAGATGAAATATGGCAAGCTTAACATTCGATTCAATGGAGAGGAGGGAGTAGATGCCGGCGGTGTCACACGCGAGTGGTTCCAGGTCCTCGCTCGACAAATGTTCGATCCCAACTACGCCTTATTCATTCCGGTTTCTTCGGATCGCACAACCTTCCACCCGAACAAGCTGAGTGGCATCAATGATGAGCATCTCAGATTCTTTAAATTCATTGGCCGCATCATTGGCAAGGCTTTGTACGAAGGCCGCCTCCTCGACTGTTTTTTCAGCCGCGCTGTTTACAAGCGTATCCTCGGAAAGTCCGTTTCTGTCAAGGATATGGAATCGTTTGACCCAGATTACTACAAATCCCTTTGCTGGATGCTGGAAAACGATATCACGGATATCATAACCGAGACGTTCTCAGTAGAAGATGACGAATTCGGTGTCACCAAGATTGTGGACCTCATTCCCAACGGTAGAGAAGTTGCGGTAACTGAGGACAACAAGCACGAGTACGTTCGTGTCGTGGTCGAGCATAAACTCCTGTCATCTGTCAAGGAGCAAATGGAGAACTTTTTGATGGGTAAGTTTTCATTCAAGACAGTCGAGATTTAGTCCCAAGGACACGTGTTGAATAACTTCTAACTTCTTTTCTAGGTTTCCACGACATTATTCCTGCGGAGTTGATCTCCATCTTTAACGAACAGGAGCTGGAACTACTGATCTCTGGTCTCCCGGACATTGATATTGACGATTGGAAAGCTAATACTGAGTACCACAACTACAACCCTTCTTCTCCACAGATCCAATGGTTCTGGAGAGCTGTCAGATCGTTTGACAAGGAAGAATTGGCCAAATTGCTGCAATTTGTCACCGGTACTAGCAAGGTGCCTCTCAATGGATTCAAAGAGCTCGAGGGCATGAATGGCGTCAACCGTTTCAACATCCATCGTGATTATGGAAACAAGGACCGCCTACCTTCCACACACACCTGCTTTAACCGTACGTTTATTTCTACCTACTCCGACTGCATTGATGCATCAAAATCCAAGGCACTGACATCTCTGATAGAACTTGACCTCCCCGAATATGATAGCTACGATGTACTTCGTTCCCAAATCATCAAAGCCATTACTCAAGGCAGCGACTACTTCGGTTTCGCTTAATGTCTATACCAGGGAGGATGGTGTATATCCAACAGAATGACGCATTATTTTAGTACGAATATCTGAGGCCTTACTCATTTTTGTTCTCTAGCATATTATGACTGTAGTACATAGCATTTGGGATGATTAAGGGTGGGGCGATTTGACAAAAAGAAAACAAACAAAAAGCACACAAAAAATCAAGGAAGGGGGGGGGGATGGTTTCCCGGTTTAGATCTCGTCTTGTTGAAGAGAAGTGCAGATCTCTCTGACATTGGCAAGATGATAGACATGGGATACGACAAGGGAAGGCTTTTGTTTGATAGGGATGGTAAAAAGACGTATTGCTTGCAAGTAGATTAGGATTGCCTAGGCTTAGAATTGGGCAAATACAATGGATTCTAATGTATATATATGTGGTCCTGAGTAAACAAATACAGTGAGCTTTAGAGTAATCCTGAAGCATACCAGTAGGGGAACATACTCTCGATAATCAGGCATGGTGAATAGAAGGGCGTGGTCTCAACATCGCTCCCTAGAAAGAATTAGGCTACTGGCACGATTACACTTATGTTTACATAAAAGCACAGGTATCATTTGGACATTGTCAATTCACAAATGAAGAGAAGTAACAGGTAAACGCCAAAAAGGTATCACAAGATTTTTGTGTCATGAATGCATTGAAATACGTCGAGATGCTTCTAATACATTCGTGGCAGGGGGTGGGCTATATAAAATCTCAAGCCCGAGAGATCCTCACTCCCTATGCATGCAAACCACGGGGGACCGAAAGGGTATGATTGGAATTTGCCCTTTTATTTTTTTCCTCATTCATTATAAAAGAAATAAAACGCCGAATCCTTATTTGTGCATGGAAGAAGCACGACGCTTGCGGGCATCGGCCTTGTGGGCCTTGGCCTCGGCGACGCGCTTGGCAAGGATCTGGGCGTACTCGTTCTATTTAGAGAGTTATGTTAGAATGCTGCTGTATACTGGATTTTTTGGTGGTAAACAAGGGAAGTACTCACGGCCTCATCCTTGACCTTCTCGGCCTGGCGGCGCTTGAGAGCGATACGGTGACGCTTGTGCTGCAGACGCTGGGGGGTAACCAGTCTCTGGATCTTGGGAGCCTTGGTGTAAGGCTTCTTGCCCTCGCCCTTGGGCTGGACCTCTCGTCGGATAACGTACTTGCGGACCTATTTGTTTCGCGGATGGTTGATTAGTTCCATTGCTTTCATATACTCTTTTTTTTTAAATCTCGGCACCGGGTCAAGCTCTTTCTTTCTCTATGCCTCAAGAATTTCTCTCATTCTTTCGAGAGCACGAGGGAAAAAAGAAACCTGCCCAGTATTTTCTTCTCACACTCTACCCGGACTGCCACAACCTCCACCGCAGCTCCTGGTAGGCGATGACCGAGTATGGGTGCAGGGTGAAACATACATCGTCATCCTTGGTGAGGTTGAAGAACTTGCGGATCTTGGTGGCGCGCTTGGGGCCGAGACGCTTGGGCTGGACGACGTCGGTCAGGCCGGGGATGTCGGCCTCGCCCTGCTTGACGATGCTGAGGGCCAGGACGGACAGGTCCATGCCGACGATGCAGCCGCGGACGGACTTTCGCTTGCGCTCGCCGGTTCGTCGGGGGCGGTAGCAGGAGTGGCCGTCGGAGAGGAGGAGGCGGACACGACTGGGGTGGAGAACACCCTGCTTCATGGGGAAACCCTGCTTGTCGTTTCCTCCGGTGATGCGGAAGATGTAGCCCTTGAACTCGTCGCCGACGGAGTCACCGGGGACCTCAGCGCCCATCTATAATACCCAGTTGTTAATTTTCACATTCCTTCTTTTGTATTTCCCTTTCGGTATCGAACTGGAGGCCAGAGAGTAAAAAGTAAAAGTTTCCGATATCGAGTACGCAGATTCTTTGGTCATCGATGATCGAAAATTCCAATTTCACACGTCTTTGCTCGTTGTTCGTAGGTGGAATAACATACTCGCTTCTCCATGAAGATGGCGAGCTTGCGCTCATCTTCAATCTCGATGAGCTTCTGGCTGCCATTGGCAGGGTAGGAAATGTTCAACTATAATAAGAGTTGTCATGTTAGCAACCGGCGGTGATCCCTCAATTATATTAAAATTGATATCCAATGTTTGTTTGCATCATTCACATTGAGTGAAGGATGAAGCAAAGAGTTTGGGGGAAAGGGATATGCCATCGTACCTTCATCTTGCCAGTGTTGTGGTGGTGCAAGTTTTGCTTGACCTGGCTCGCGTGAAGTCGGCTTTTGGTGTTGAAGGAATGGGGGAAAGGGCAGAGACGAAATTGGGGCACGCAAAAAAAAAAAGAGAAAATGTTGTGTGCGCTTTGTCTAGGGCTCCATTTTGGCGTGTGGGAGGTTAAGCTGGCCAATCAAAGCTCGGAGAGGGATCCGTAGCGGCTGAATAGGTACGTACCGAAAGCTAGGCGATCTTGAGGTCCAGCCGGTAAAAAAATGTTCCATTTCCCTTATGAAAGCGCTGTGGCTGGCGCTAGCGTCACTCTTTTGGAGCTTTCAATGTGGCATTGACCCCACCAGATGTGTTCTGAGGGTGGGGCAGGATTCTCACTTACTCGCGGATCTCATGAAGCTTCACTTATTCTTTTGCTCACAGGTTTGGATACGATTATCAGACCAGTCCTCTTCGGTGTATCAATTAGCTATTCACCATATGATTCTTTAAATATCTAGCAGTTCTTTATTTCTTCATTCTCCACTCAATTCCTGTACATCGCCCATCCTATCATGTCATCATCTACCGCAAAGCTATATCCTCCCTCAAAGGAAGTCTCCTCCACAGCTCCCACCAATCCTTTCCCTACTCTCCTCCAAACCCCATCAGGCCTAGCCATACTCGAGCTCCAAGGCACCATCAATCTCCCTCAAGATTCCAATGGGGAGACTCTAAAAGATGTTGAGGCCGGCAGACTAGAGTTCCCAGACTATTCACCAGACGCCATCGGCACTGCCTGGATGCAGCGAGTCCATTTATATATCGGGCAGCATCAACGCCTGCATGGCGAGGTGAAGAAGCTTCCCAAGGCGCTTGCCGTGGTGAGAAAACGCCAGAATAAAGAGCTGCAGAGCTCTGCTGGGCCTTATATGGAGCAAGGAGATAACCTGGAGGTGGTTGAGATTGTCAAGTACAAGCTCATGTTTACAACTCGGCCAGAACCTGTCGGAACAGCCCATGCACCAGCTTCATGATAGGGAGAGAGGTGAGAAGCACAAATCTTTCCGTGATGTGCTTCAAAGAGAGTATTCGATATCTTGCCAAGCGCAACGATCTATAATTATCCAGTATAGCGCACGCTTATACCAACTATCAGTACCTTTTTTGCGAAAATCTTTAGTATTCGATTGCAGATGAGCTTCATATACTCCTCTTCTACCGCACATTTATACAGTCATCGGCTATAATATCCAGAGACGATCCTGGTTTCGTTGCTTCTCGCATTAACACTTCGTCATGGAATGGAAATCATCAAGGTCTCTAGGATCAGTTAGGAAGTAAAGCATAAGCCGGCGCCATGAAACAAGTCTTCATATCAAGGATACTGTGGACAAGAAATTCACTCGGTATCAAACTCAGCCGTTTCTACTGAGAATTACAACCAAAAGAACACCCATCCATTTTATACAGAGTGCCCTAGCCATCTATCATCATTGGCTCTTCTATATAGAGTAACCAAAGTGTATATGTCACTTTTGACTTTTGAATGAAAAAGAGAAGAAAAATATCCATAATACAGATGCCGCTCTGCCATTGAGATCATGAAATAATACTCTATAATCACGCCGCAACACCCTCCAACGGCTTCGTCCTCCCCAGCCCGTCTTTTCCATAATAATCCATCGGGTATATGCCATCACCGCCATCTTCCTTACCCCAACCGCTTCTCTTGCCCAGCACCACAAGCGCCTCATAGGGAGTGAGGAGCGGCCTCGGGAAAGCGTATCCCCAGTCAATACTCAGACGCGGGCACGCCACCTGGACCCAACACTCGACATCGCTCATCATGGCCAGCTTTCCGGGGAAGATTTCACTCAGGAGAAGGTCGACCTTGGGGATTCCTCGCTCCGCTAGCTCGCGCTCAATCAGCGCCAGCGTATGCGGGTTTCCCTGACGACCGAGAGATCCGAGGATAAGGCCCCAGCGACGGGCCTTGCGGGCAGTCTGGATGGCTGAGCGCCGCACCGACTGCATCTCGTCGTGGCCGTACGTCTCTCTCGTCAACTTGCGAGAATATGGGTCATATCTATAAGCGGGAATGGAAGGGTTGTGGATCATGATGCTCTCGAGGTGGAAGCGTCCGTCGCCGAGGTAGAGGATAAGGTCGATGCCGTCTTCATCTTGTAGTCGCGGCGATGTACAGCCCAGAATCTCGCCCTTGCTGAGAGGCCCAATCTGCGGCACGACAACACTGAAGCCAGCAGCCTCAAGACTACTCCGCACACCGTGGATGGTGGCATTGAACTGGATGGTGCCAACAATGGCAATAGTCTTACCGCTGGCAAAGTTTCGCTCCAGCGAGTTTACCAGATGCGACGTATCGATGCTTATATCGACAAAGACATACAGCGTCTTGATCTTGGTCACGTCCACAGGAATCAAACAGCTATGCGCATAATGCACCAGCAAATCGCAGCCCAGCGCCCGCGCAGTATAGTCGTCGATGCAGCAGGCGCCGTATGTCACATCGCCCATAATGAGTGTCTCCACGCCGGGGCAGAACTGCGTTATGATGTCGGAAATGGTTGTCGCAAACAGGAGCAGACCCTCGGGCATCTGCAGCGCAACCTTTTTGGCGCCAGACTCGCGCACTCGGTGTATCGTCTTGGGGATCTCGAAGTTGTAGTTGGCCGGTAGCAGGGCGATAGCTTCCTTGATGCTGGGATCTTCGGATATTTCTTTGGGCACTCTGTTAAGGAGTCGGGGGGCTCGTCGAGGCTTGGCGGCTACATTGTAAGACTGTTAGAGAGGAAACGAAGCAATGGTTAAAGGTTTTGATTATTTGTAGTTCCAACATACCTTGAACGGCGCCGCTGCCGCCTTCTTCCGTCGTTGCCTTTGCTGCCGCTGCTTCATCTGCCGCTCTTCTTCCTACAAAGCGCCTCTTGGGCTGTCTTGTTGTGGGTGCCGCGTTCTCGGCGGTCGCGGTGTCTAGCTTATGAACTTCTAACTGCGATTCTTCGATATCTGCCGCTGTGCCGAGGCCGACGAGCGCCCTGTCGTCTTCCATCTCTTCGTGATTGATGGCTAGTGTCTGTATTCCAACTTTTTTTGTGGCCCCTCGCTGCCCCTCGCCTCTTGTGATCGTGCTGCGATGTCGTATGCGGCGCAATAGGTGCTTTGATGAGATCAGATCTTTCGATACCGGGTTAAGTGAGATTGGGTATAGAACTGGCTTTTGCTTCGTTAAAGGTCGTTATGTCAAGATTTGGGGCTTGTAAATGACAAAAGCTTTTTGCGCCGTAGCTTGAAAGATGCAAGAAAGTGGTGGGGTGATGCCGATAAGCGTCCCCGCAGTGGACTCTCTTGTCAGCACCCTGGCAATACAAGGCCTCTGATTGAACGCATGTAAGTGCACATATAGAGATCTAGACTGCTCATTAATGTTATTGAGCGTCTTCTATCTTCATCGAAATCATTCATAAACTCGTGATTTTATTAACTAGTAATTAATGCTTCATCTGCATCCAGTTGGACTCCCACCTCTTTCTCCTTCAACGTTCCTGACCTCGTCAACTCTTCTACTTGTCAATGCTAAACCTGTAACTCGCCTGGACAACATACGGAGCATCGCCAGGTCCCCAGATCTGCTTCCTTCCCCATTCCGGGTTGTTGATGCCGTCGATCCAGTCCTCCACCTCCATGACCAGACATCCGTATTGCGGGATCGTCCTCGGGAACTTCTTGTTGTTGTGCAGGCCCTGCGTCGTCTTCAGCGCCAGAGAGCCGTTCTGCCCGTTGCAGGTGTACACCTGGAAGGCGTCCTGGTCGGAGTAGATGTCGAGGTGAATGCCCGACCAAGGGGAAGACAGACTTGCGACAGGGCCTTCGGTGCGCCAGTCAAAGTTGCCCAGCGCGCCGCGGTTGGTGAGATAGCAGGTATCTATAAGTCTCGCTGTCAGTTCAATCTATCTCTCAATAAAGAGGAAATAGAGAGTCTCTTACCAAAGCCGGTACAGTTGTTGCCGCAGTTCTCCTTGATGCCGCTCTGCTGGAAACCCTTGCCCAGCTGCTTCGGCTCCGACCAAAAGTCATTCGCCGTATCCTTCTTGTTCGCGACAATGTCGCCCGTCGGGATCAAGAAGCCGTCCACGCCGACGCGCTGTCCGCCATAGGGCAGATGCAGCGTGTGGTTCAGCGCCGTCTGGGTCTGGTTGTTGGCGAAGCCGTCCAGGTTCCAGTACGTGTGGCTGCTGAGCATGATGGGCGTCTTCTTCGTCGTGGCCTGGGCCACCATGACAAAGTCCCATTGGTTCTCCTTCACGGTGTACGTGATGTGCGAGACGACCTCGCCGGGGAAGCCCTCTTTGCCGTCTGGGTCGGTGATGCTGAAGGTGATGCTGGTGGGGGAATACGCCGTCACGGTGAAGTTACGCCAGTCCCAGCCATCGGGCCCTCCGTGCAGAGTATCTGATCCGTTGGGCGCAGCCTTGGTGGGATTCTCATTGGGCAGGACATGATATTGTTTGCCGTCAATGGTGAAGGTGCTGTTCTTGATGCGATTGGCATAGCGGCCAGGCACGCCGCCAAAGTGCGGGTGTTGCTTGTCAATGCCGTAGTACGTCGCATTGTCGAAGCCGCCGACGAGGTCGCGCTGGATGCCATATCGATCGTTGATGAACAGGTTCGAGATGGACGCTCCGTAGGGGATGAAGGAGGCCTCAATGCCCTTTGCGCGAATCCAGTACTTGCCGTTCTTGTCGGGACCGTCTCCAGTACTCGACGTGCCGGCTGCAAAAGGAATGGCAGAGGCGGCGGCCAGAGCGGCCAATGAATTGCTCGTCAGCTTCATGATGTCTTTGAGCTTTTACTTTCTTCAAGACAAGTCAAAACAAGTCAAAACGGCGCAATCTAAGAGAACAAGCACTTCGCCCTGCAGGACAAGCGTCTAAGACAAGCGAGACGAAAAGACTAGAAGGCCGAGACATTCTGCCGGCTGGGGAGGGCCAAACCTCCTCTATTTAATCATGTTCGCCCAACCCAACTCTCGCCGCAATGTTACTTCGCGCGCAGCATCTCGTGTTACCCGGCCTGTCCATCCACATGACGCACCGCTGTAGGTCCCGGCCAACCTCTCCGCGTCCACAACAGGCAATGGATGGCGATGATCAGAGACGCTTGAGAGGGGTACCCCGTAGAATTGCATGAATAACATGGCAATCTCGGCCCGGATCATCTGCTGGCGCTGCTGCAATGGGGGAGAGAAGAGCAGCGAAAAGCCAGCTAGACAGCTAGAGAAATGCGGAGAGTGGGCGAAGGATCGTGGGCATTTCCTGGGGTTGGGCGAGGCTGGTGGTCCTGCATGATGTGATGTCACCTCGTCATATTCGGATATAATGGCCCCCTTTTCTCGTTTCCTTTGCTGGATTCTTGTTATTCTGGCCTGCGACGAGCAATGACTTTATGAACAATAACGGTTCATGTCTCTCTATTGCTACAATTCTCGATAGACTCACACATCAATCATCACCAGCAACTCGTAGATGGACCTGACCTGACAGGTACCCAAAAAGCCGGCCCAGCCCCACAAAGGTACATGCAATCATCGTCTTACCGACAATCCACGGCATCCCCAGTGCGGAGAACCAAAACTAAAAAGCCATGCACCCCTGAACAACATCTCGAACATCACTGGCACGGCTATAAGACAAGATGGCTTCATTTTCCTCCCAACAACAAATAACCACTAACATGAGCAAAAGTGCTAGGTAACTAACAGCGTCGCCAAAAGTGCCCCCCAGAGATCCTGCAAGGCTACATGTAGCTAGCATCGTCATTACTCCCAGGCTCTTTTTTTCCCCTTCAACTCTCGGTGCCTAAGCGCTCCAATCGCTACGAGTCCCGGCCGACAGAAACTAATTTGGACGGCATGGTAATCCCGAAATGGCAACAAACACGCAAGAGAATGCGAAATTCGGCTTGATTGGTTAGATAATCACCAGCGGGCGATCGGCAATTCGCTAACTGTTAAAACATGGCTTAGCCTAACGCGGTAGATCTGAAAAGGTTCGTTTTAGCCTTGTGTTTATGCTACACATTATCTCTTGGCGATTGTTCCACAAAAGCCTTGTATGAAACCCGATTCTATCAACCGCCAAAGCTCTTTCATTTACTCCTGGACATTTAAACAGCTGTCCAAGTTGTTCAAGCTGCTCTGACTGCCCAAGATCAAAGATCAAAATAAGCATGAGCTGTCACTATATTTTCACCGACATGTAACTAAGCTGTGAGTTTGTAAAGATAAAAACAAAAAAGGCAGTTTACTCTGCAGATTTCACAAGCGCTAGAAGCGACAGAATGCATAATAGATTTCTTCATAGTCATTCAAATTCTAATGTTGGTAGAAAGAGCCAGTCATACTACCCTGTACATACATACATACTCTGAAAGAAAAACATCAATATATACTCGACTTGTGAAAAGAGAAACCAGTTAAATCCAACAAAGAATTGAAAGTCGTTAAGCATTGAAAGTCATGTTTTCGTTATACAAGATTGCCTTTCTTCTCATGAAAAAGAAAGAAAAAGCGAAGGGAGAAAAGACGTTTTAATCTTTTGACTCGTCTTTTGACTGGTCTTTTCTTACTGGCAAGAACTCCAGTACTGGCCCTCCTGAACGCATTTGTATGGGGACTGACACTGGATAGGGCCAGTGTAACCAATACCGCCGCACTATTATTACACAACAGTTAGCAAAGTGCTTTTCTCTACTAGGTTGTAATAGGAGAAGGATATAACTTACCTGTCCCCACTGGGCAACGCCACCGCCGTTTCCAGAGCTTCCAGAGGCATGAAGAGAAGAGTTGTCCGGGAGAGAAGAAGCAGGGGAAGTTGAAGCCGGAGGAGAGTAAGTAGCAGAAGAAGTAGCCGGAGTGGATGAGGAAGAAGCCGGAGCAGAGTAAGCCGGAGAAGGAACAGTAGAGTTTGAAGCCGGGGGAGGAGGAGAACCACCATCGTCGGGAGTGCCCTTGCAAGTTTTACCGGTCGTGAGAATGCTCTTGACCTGCTGGGCAAAGGTGCAGTCGGCGACGACGTGCTCATCAGACCAAGACGCATCCCAGAGCATCACACCACCAAAAGAAGGGTCTGACTTGACGCTGTTGACGACGGTGGCCAGATGCGAGGGCTCAACGAAGCCTGAGCCCGCGCCGCCCGGTGCGGCAGGGGCACCAACAAAGATCTTCGCGCTGCTGGACTTGGTGGAGGAGAGGAATTTAGTCCACTCACCCCAGTTGAGGGGAGAGCTGCCGGGCGCATTAAGAGAGCAGCGCTGGGGGTTGTTGTAGAACTGGATGAAGAGGTAGTCGAAGACGGAGTTTTGGATCGCAGCGCCCATGTTGGCCTCGGGCAAGGGGCACTGAGGAGCACCGGTGATGTAGTACTTGTTGCTGGGGTCCTTGGCGATGTTGGAGCGCAGGGTTGAGATGAGGTACTGATACCACTGGCCGCCATCGGGGTTCTCGAGGTCAAAATCCCAACCATTGACAAATACATCGCCAAAGGGACGCTTGACAGCAGTGTTGCCGGAGTTGCCGTAGGCGTCCCAGAGGTATTGGCCGATGGTCTCGGCCTGGGATTGAGACGCGAGGGAGTACGAACCCATGCCACCACCAAGAGAAACAATGACTTTTTTACCAGCGCTCTGGCAAGTCTTGATTGAGGAGGCCAAGGTAGAGCACGCCGCAGTATCGAAACTACCATCGGCGGTGATGATGCAGCCGCCGAGGACGCCCGAGGGAATATCGCCACTGGCGCCGAAGGTGTTCAAGAAAGACAAGACCAGGACGTCAATGCCCGCAGAAGTGCCCGCGGCGCAGTAGTCAGAGAGGCTTGAGTTTCCCCGGGCGCCCCAGTAGACGACATTCTGGGGGCCGGAAGTTTGATCATTCGCTTTTCTTTTGGTCGGAGCAGCGGCAGCGAGGCCAGCGAGGCCGAGGCCAGCAAAGAGAGCGTGGTAAAGCATCACGAAATTGGTGTATATAATTCCAAAGAAAGAAAGAAAAGTGATCCGATCAAAGCTGCCTAAAAATCGTGTGGATGTATAAAAAGTTGGAAAAAAGTTGAATGAATGTATATATACAGATAAATGGTAAGCCAGTTACCAATGTCCGAGTAGGTCGAAGAAAGAAAGTGAAGAAAGGAATGTAGTGTATAACCAGTATACTTGAAGTCTTGCGTGAGGATGAAGAGAAGAGGAATTGTCCATCTCGAGGAAGACAGCCAGTATATATATGTGTAACCAACAGAGACGTCAAACCCATCTTGTGGGGGCACCATCACGAGCAACACCAAAAGGAAAGAAAAGGCCCGCTTGAACACCACCAACCGGAACAGTTTTCACTCCTTCACGGCTGGAGGGGCCAAGGGTGGACCGGACATGGAAAACACATCCCCTGTACAAGAGCTGAACGCCAAAAGCTGATGTGAACAGGACTAAAAAACAATAACCCGATGGACACGGACGAATGAGGTTATTCGCTTCCCCTGCTCCACCCCCTCAAGGGAACAAGGGACGGCTTCCATACGGGCTAATCGAAGCTTGCCATTCGAAAGCCTCGTGAGATCCGACCCCACGTTTTGTGCCGTGTGCCAAACAGCCTAGAACAAGATGCAGAGATAAAATGCTAGGATGGGCATGCAGACATGACAAGAGGCAGCCAAGGCTCAGGAACCGCAAACTCGAGCACACGGCGTCAAAGCGCCTGCACAGGGGCTGCTGTGCGCACATTGGCCAGCTAACCGCTACGGCGCACAGCAGGCACGTCCCCTTTAGGCAGGTCTGTGGAGGCCATTGGCACCCATGCTCCGCGTTAGCGCTTCGTGGCGTCTAATCAGAAACGCCTGTCCAGCCTGACAGGGTTGAGGCTGAAACACTGAAACACTTGAACCCCGGCACACTCAGAAACCACGAGCATGTTTGTTTTCAGGCATTAGTGTTCTCATCATCTTTTCCTTTCACTTTCTGATATATCAGTAATTCCATATTCCAAGGCTTTGGCGCGAGGCCCTCTATATGTGTCACAAAATACGACCTTCCTGCGCTAGCGCCCGTGAGGGACCTGTGCTGAGAATGACAGCTGCTTGCTAACCTCAATGCTACAAACACCAAAATATCTGTCAGCCCGTTAGCAAACTTGCTATCAATAGAGGCCGATATCGTGGCTACTAGTATCCAATTTGAGCGAATGCAGTTCAGAAATTTACATGTATTTGTCTTTTCGAACAAATCGCATTTCCCCTTATCATTGCAGCAGATCTTGTTTCCATGTACTCTACGTACCGTATTCTTAAAACACGAATTAATCATCTTCTCAGCTATAATTAATGCACCAGCCCGTTTCCAGACACCATCTCTATAGATTTATTAGGCCGCGCATCAGGCCGCCAAGGATAGGTAGGGCTGAAGTCTGATAGTAGATCCTGCACAGCGCACCAGGCGAAGCCTCATCAAGCCACGGGCGTGTTTCACACGGCTATTGGACCGTGAGCCATCCAATCTAATATAAGGGACCTCCGTTACCCAGTGCGCTAATGTGCCGTGGCGGGCATGAGGCTAAGATAGATAGAGTCAACTATCAAATCATCATCACATCCTCGTGCTCCGTCTTCAGCTCACTCTCTAGTGAAATAATTTGATTTGACATTTACTCTGCTGCCTATATTCACGCTACAACCCTTCATCCGTAACCATGCCAGATTGCTCGCCCACTTCCGGCGCAGTCGTAAAAACCAAACAAAGAAAAGAAAATAAACGGTACTAAACAGCTCCTGCAGCTCGAGACTTGCACTTCTACCACAACTATTATCACACACTTCCAGGCCAACTATTTATAAGCTCTCAATCTCCACTCGCCCGAAGGAAAACAACAAGACGATCCATCAAGGGCGCCTCTATGCGTCAATCAGGTTCTCCTCAGCCTGTTGCCTGTCGTTGGAAGCAACCTCGGCTCGCGCCTTGCCCTTGGCCTTGGAGTCCTTCTGGGATCGCTGGTAGAACTCGTTGAGAATCTTGGCAGGGATACGGTTGAGCAGGTCCTTGGGGTAGATTCGGAGCAGGCTCCAGGCCAGGTCTAGTGACTCGTAAATTGTTCGAGACTCGTAGGCACCTTGGCTGATGAATTGACGCTCGAACTTGTCCAAGAACTCGAGCGACAGCTTATCTTCGGAGGATAGCGCCTCCTCACCGACGACAGCCTTCATGGCGGCGGCATCACGACCAATGGCATACTTGGCATACAGCTGGTTGGACACATCACCGTGGTCCTTGCGAGTCATACCTTCACCAATAGCAGACTTCATCAAACGCGACAGCGAAGGAAGCACGTTGATTGGTGGGTAGATACCACGGTTGTAAAGAGGTCGGTCGACGAAAATCTGTCCCTCGGTAATATATCCCGTCAAATCGGGGATAGGATGCGTGATATCGTCGTTGGGCATAGTCAGAATGGGAATCTGGGTGATGGAGCCATTTCGTCCTGTCACACGGCCAGCTCGTTCGTAGATGGTCGACAAATCAGTGTACATGTAACCGGGGAAACCACGACGACCAGGGACTTCTTCTCGGGCAGCGGAAACCTCACGAAGAGCATCGCAGTAGGCTGACAAGTCCGTCAGGATGACCAGGACGTGCTTCTCAAGCTGGTAGGCGTAGTATTCGGCAGTTGTAAGGGCAAGACGAGGAGTAATGATACGCTCGATGCTATTGCAATGTCAGCTATGAATTCCAGTAGTATACCTGTGATGATTAAAAAGAAAAAACAAGGGTCCTTACGTAGGATCGTTCGCCAAGTTGAGGAAAAGTGTGGTACGTTCCAAACTGCCGTTCTCTTCGAAATCGCGGGTAAAGAATCGAGCAGTCTCCAAGTTGACACCCATGGCACCAAATACAATGGAAAAGTTCTCCTCGTGGCCGTCGTGAACTCCCTTGTTGGTGATTCCCTTCTGCTTGACCAAGCCAGCCTGTCGGCAAATCTGAGCAGCGATTTCGTTGTGTGGCAGACCAGAGGCTGAGAAGATGGGAATCTTTTGTCCTCGGGCGATCGAGTTCATGGTGTCGATGGCTGAAATACCGGTCGCAATCATTTCCTCGGGGTATTCCTAAAGCTTTGTCAGTCTATGCAAGTTCCATTCAAGACGCGAGCATAGATAGCGGCAACTCACTCGGGAGAAGGGGTTGATGGGACTGCCGTTGATGTCGAGATACTCTTCCGGCAGCACCTTGGGACCCTTGTCGATGGCTCGTCCAGATCCGTCAAAGATACGGCCAAGCATGTCCTCTGAGACACCAAGCTTGAGGTTCTGACCGGTAAACTTGACACGAGTCTAAATGCACACACAAACACGATTAGCCATTTTTCGTTCAGCAATTGATTGCTGCTCCCACGTACCTTCTTCACATCGATACCAGGAGTACCCTCAAAGACTTGGACGACAGCTCGGTCACCTATCTCTCAGTTAGAAAACCCCGTTCCAGATGGGCATTCGCAGCGCCATGCTCATATATGCATAATCGTAAAGGGCCATCACGCACCTCGAGCTTCCAGAACCTGGCCGTTCCTCTCCGTACCGTCGGGCAGCGTAAGTGTAACGATCTCATTGTATCGCGGGAATTTGACCTAAGTGCAATCACTGGTTAGCACCTCCAGGTAACCAAGCATTGTGTATTCCATTCGATGCCACTGCGCTGCGCAGCAAAACTAAAACTAGAGGAAGCGAAGTGATGGGATAGATGACATACATTCTCAACAATAACGAGGGGACCGTTGACACCGCTCACGGTGTTATACTGCAGCTGTGGCACAACCGAGTAAGATGACGAATTGCGTGGGTCCGCCATTGCTGCGAGTTCTATGTTGATGTGCTTCGTCTAGTGTCTCGCGCTTCTGTATATAGCAGCCTCGAGCTTTGCCGTCTGTAATCACCGCTCTGTCGTCTCTCCGTATGCAGTCACTGCACAATAGTACGAGTCGTCGCCGGGGATATTAGAAGGAAGCGTCAACAAGGACAGATCGATTGGGCGAGCCAGGAGGCAATAAAAAGAGGTCAAGATGCGGGGCACTCAAGCTCCGAAGCAGAACCACCGAGCACAGAGCCGATGCCTCAGCAGTCTTTGTGAAATGGACGAGTGAGAGGGAGCGCGGAGGATGAAGCCAAGATGGAGATCAAAGGTTCGGAGTCGGAGAGAGGAAGAGAAGGCTGGAAGCGAAGCAGCTCGGACGAAGTGGGGACGCAGAGACGCCTTTGCTTTACCGGTTTGAGCAGCGCCTGTAATAGTGAGCGTAATTAGTGCCTCTTCGCCGCCGCAGCCTTCTGTAACGTGCGCTGCGCAAAAAAAAAAGTAGACCCACGCCGAAGGACCTGGAGTCAAGATTTGGACAGCGAGAAAAGAAGGTCCTTGGCAGGAGAACGGCCGTGACATCACATGACATACGAACTGCATTTTATTGCTTGAGGATGCCATCCCTTCCAAATGATACAGTATATAGCGTTGCCTCTTCATTGGATGATATGATAGAGAAAGCTACAAATTGTATTTAATCATTAATAGCTCGTGCAGGCATAAAAGCATCATCTTGGTAGCCATTTGGATGCTTCAGGTACTTCGCCTGAGGGGAACGAGACAAGCTGCGGAAGCTGTAGCTGTAGAAGCTACCCCTCCAAGTCGCATCTCCAATTAACAGGGTAAGCTCAGCTCTCAGCAAATGGGCACGGCGATGCGCCTGTATTCGATGAAAGTGGACAAAATGCTCAATTAAAGAATTCTTGATTAACTTTTACATATTCAATTAATTCCTTGATATCAACTATCACGCCTTAAAGCCCTTTTACCTTAGACAGTGCACCTATGCCTTTACAGCCTCAGCAGCCTTTGCCGCTTCAGCACTCTTCCTCGACCTCGCCCCCAAAACCGCCTTTCCCACCGAACTGTCATTCCCCTTGCCCAGCTCCTGCGTGATCCAAGCC